GGTGGGCGGCATGCCCAGCTTCGGTGGTCTCGGAGGCGGTTCCAGCGGCGGCGGCGCCTCGTGGTCGGTTCCTCCGATGCGAGGCGGCGGCCGCCCGGCGGTGGTCCGCTGCCGGTGGCGGCTCTGGTGGGGCTACAGGCACCGGTGGCGCAGCGGGTGGTGCTGCCCTGGTGGTGGTAGCGCCGCCGGCGGTGCTGGTGCTCCCACGGGCGCCGCATGCAACAGCTACAGTGAGTCTACCCGTCCAGACAGAGCGCGTCCTTCAACGTCACGCCCGACTCCCCATCCCTCTCCGACGCGGACCCCTCTCATCCCTGCCCCCTCCCCGGCCCAACCGTTGACCAACGCTCTGCCACCTCTCCCCCCAACCCGCCCACCTTCACACCGTCTCCTCCGCCCCCTTCTGCCTCTGCCTCCGACCCCGGCTGCAGCCATCATCACGACGCGCGGTACGGGCGAGATGCAAGGCCCCTCTGCGGGCTTCCGCACCATGAACTCGCAGATCACGTCGGCCGTGCCCGGCGGAAAGCTGTACAACACCATGTACGCCGCCGGATTCGACCAGAACTCGGCGCAGGGCACGCAGGATATCGTCAACAACGTGACCAACACCATCCGCCAGAACCCCAACGAGTGCTTCATCCTCCAGGGCTACTCGCAGGGCGCCGCCGCCACGACCAACGCCCTCGCCAAGATCACGGGCGCAGGCTTTGACGCCGTCAAAGGGGTCGTGATGGTGGGAAATCCCCTCCACCGCAAAGGCCTCGCCTGCAACGTCGATGACAAGGGAGGTACCTCGACGATGAACGTGCAAGGAATGATGGCCATGATGGGCGGTGGTGTCCCCCAGAACTGGGTCTCGAAGACGTTGGATATCTGCGCCTACGTGAGTCTTGCCGCATCGCCAAGTGCCCCGTGGAAGGCTGCACATGGCACGACAGACGGCACAAGGAGATTGCTATCGATTCGAGATGCGAATGACGGAAGAGATGTGCTGACACCGCCATCCCGCCGTGACGATATCCACCTCGACGCGTCTCGCTCTTTTCCTTCCCGCCCTCGTCTGCGCCTCTGCACCTCCGTGTGGACGACAGGGCGACGGCGTGTGCGACACCTCGCACGGTATGGGCATCAACGCCGCGCACATGTCGTACGGCGGCAGCCAGACGGTGCAAGCGATGGGCCTCAAGTTTATGCAGAAGCAGCTGGGCCACTGAGCGCCCTGGCGGCGCGCGGCGTGAGCCGGCTTGCCAGGGCTGCCGGCTTTGGCCCTCATCTCTGCGGCACGGCGCGGCGCGGCGCGGCGCCAACCGACTGGACCGGACCGACGTCGATGCGATCGTTCACTGCGATCCATCTGTTGCTGTCGGTCGCCTCTGGTCGGTTGCGCCCGGATACACGGCGGTGCCCGCCCTCTCCCACTCGCTCACCTCGCCTCGTTTCGCCTCGTCTCTATCTCGTCTCGTCTCACCTGGCCCCAGTGTCACCCCTGGGCCAACTTCACTCTGCAGCTGCGCCGCGGTTGCCGTGGTCCCATCTCGTTCGCTCCCTTGCGCGCTCCTCCCGCCTCTCCGATCCATCCCTTGCTGCTCCAGCCACGCAGCACGGGTGAACCACGTCCCTCCTTTCTCCTCCCCCTCGATCTGTCTATGCGTCGATGCCCTCGATGGCAGGCCGTCTGAGCGGGCCGATGCAGGCAGACCAAGGCGAGGCGCCGTCGCGGTCGCCCCGTCGCACCGCACCGCACCGCACCATCCTTTGACCGAATGCGAATGTAGCACTACACCCGACCCTCCCTCTTTGTCGTTGATCGTTGATCGAACTCTTTCTCGTTGATCGTTGATCGAGCCCAGAGCTGTCCTTGACCCTTGTTCTTGTCCCGGTCTGAACGCATCCACCAGGCGCGGTGAGCCATGGCATCCTTGGTCGTTGTGATGCGCGCGTGCTGGTGGCCACGGCCGTGGTGGCGTCTGTTGCGGGTCTGTTTTTGCCTGCGGGGGCTGTCGATGTCGCGCCAGCCAGGCCCCGCTGGCTGCTGCTGCTGGCTGCAGGGTTCAGCGCCCGTCTCGGGGAAAAGGCAGGGAGCGAGACAGGGGCCTGGCCTGTCGCCCACGTACGCCCTTCCAGGCCCTCGTGCCAGCGCGCGGGCGAAAAGGCCGTGTGTTGGTCTTGCAGTTGCTCCACATTTCACCTCCTCGCACTCGACCACCACCACCGCCGCCATCGACTCTTCCGCAGCCCCTCCGCGCCGCCACCGCGCCGTCACCACATCCGTCACCCGCTAGCTCGTCTGTCCGCCTCTCTGTCTCTTCGCCTCTCGCCTCCCCGCCACCCCGCCACCCCGCCGCCATGTCGGGACCATCGACGCTGCTCAACCCGGCGGCACGCTCCAATGCCGTGTCGCAGCTGCGCGCCACGTCGGCACTCAAGGGCAACCACCCGCGCCAGTCGTCGTCGTCGGGCGTGTACAACACCTTCTCGCCCAAGCAGATCCAGGGCTTCAAGGAGGCCTTTAACATGATCGACCAGGACGGCGACGGCCTCATCTCGCGCGCCGACCTCGCAGGCATGCTCCAGAACCTCGGCCAGGAGCCCAAACCCTCCACCCTCGACGCCCACTTTGCCTCGGCCGGCTCCTCGTCGTCGTCGTCGGGCAGTGCCAGCGCCACGATCAACTTTACCCAGTTCCTCACCATGTTCGGCGAGCACCTCGCCGAGCTCGACGAGGCCTCGACCCTCGTCGACGCTTTCGAGTGCTTTGACGAGCGCGACCAGGGCGTCATTGATGCCGGAGAGATCCGATACTGGCTCAGCGAGGTCGGCGACCGCATGACTGAACAGGAGGTGAGCAGGGGCCTCGCCTACTGATCGCGATCCTTCCCGCATCGTCCACTCACCCTCACCCTCGCCCTCACCGACTGCCCCCCCCCAGATCGACCGCCTCCTCTCGGGCCCCTTTACTGACCGATCCGGCAAAAACTTTGACTACAAGGCCTGTACGTTGCGCCTGCCCTGCCTGCGCCGAGTGTCGACCTGTCCCTGCCGCTGACCGTCAGTCTTGCCCTGCTGCCGCAGTCGTCGAGGCCATCAAGATGTCGGAACCTGCCGAGCTGGAATGACGGCACGACGGCGTCGGACCCCATATCGCTCATGACGTGCACGCCCCGCCGTCGAGCCAGGTCGGAACATGCCCGCCCCGGCCCGCTGTATCTATACCCTCCCCCGACCAGGAACAATCTCCCAGCCTCTGTCAAATCCCCCGCAGGGACGCGTGCATCGATCGCCAGGTGACAGGTTGCCAGCGACGGCGGGAACGTGATGAGATGAACCGGGCGCCAGCGAGGTCCGAGTGCAGACGATGTCGGCAGTCGAAGTGGCCATACGGCGGCACAAGCGCGGGGGGGTCGATGTATGGACGAGGCGATGGCGTCGCTCGCCTGGGAGCAGGAGGGGGTCACGAGGTCGATGTCGCGGCGAGCGGCGAGACGAGGCGTCGGGGGCGGTCGAACCTCTACGAGACCGAGAAAGGTGCCCCTGCACAGCTGGCTGGCGATTGCACCGCAGCGACCGGCGCAGCAGAGGGCGGGACACGGCGTATCCTCGTGCCAGCCTATCAAACCCCATCGCCGGCGCCTCCTCTTGACCGAGGGACGCTTCCGAACGCGGACGGCACGTAGCGAGCCTCTGTCTGGCTGAGCATCGCCGCGTCAGAGTCGAGTCGAGTCGGTCCTACCTAGCCTCTCTGGCTCGATACGACTTGCATGGCCGGCCCTCGAACCGAACGCAGTCTGGTGGTGCTCGAGGAGATGCGGCGACCAAGAGAGCTCGAGAGTCGCAGCCATGTCGAGGTTTCCTTGGGTTGCCGGAACCAGGTCGGTCCGGTGCGGTGCGGCGTGGTGGCGCCTTGTAGCGGGCAGAGAGGACCGACCTTTGATGGCCTGGCCGGTGTGGGCAGGCCGGTGTTGGCAGGCCGGTGTTGGCAGGCAAACCTAGCCTGCTCGTCAGTCCCCCCGCCTGCTTTTGGCCATCCTGCTTGACCCCATGTGGAGGAGGCTTGCCTGCAAGGATGCTGCTGCCTGGCCCGTGATTGCGTGCTTGCCTGCCCGCCTTTGCCCTAACCCGCTTGGCTTGGCCTGGCCTGGCCTGGCCACCCGAGAGATTCTTCTGACCTGCCTGGGCCTGGCCTGGCCGGTCTGCTTGGGCACCTCGCTCATCCTCTCTCCACCACGACGACGACGACGAGCGGCCACACTCACCAACGACCGCCACTCACCAGCGCCTCACCCCTCACCTCTCGCCGCTCCCTCTCACACTCTCCCGCACCGACCATGCCGTCCCGCACCGACACCTCTGCACCACGGCCACCACCGCCATCCGAAGGCTGGCCACCCTTCACGCTTCCCCTCACCGACCTGGTCGCCGGTTCAGCGGCGGGGTCGGCGCAGGTGCTGGTGGGCCAGCCGCTGGATACCATCAAGGTGCGCGCGCAGACGGCGGCCGTGGGACGCTTCACGGGGCCCATGGACGTGCTCCGCCAGACGCTGCGCCACGAAGGCCTCGGCGGCCTGTACAAGGGCATCACGCCGCCCCTCGTCGGCGTCGCCGCACAGACCTCGATCCTCTTCACCGCCTTCAACCTCTCCAAACGCCTCGTATCCCCCCTCTGCCCCTCGAACCTCTCCGTCTCCCAAATCGCCCTCGCGGGCGGTATAGCCGGCGGCGTCAATACCGTCCTGAGCGCACCCATCGAACTCGTCAAGATCCGACAGCAGTCCAACTACGACGCCCGCTCCGCTTCCATGCTCTCCGTCTTCAACTCCCTCCGCCGCGACGTCGGATGGAAATCGGGCGTCTACCGCGGCTTCTGGATCACATTCTGGAGAGAGATCCCCGCCTACTCGGCCTTTTACGCCGCCTTTGAAGCCTCGAAACGCGCATTCGCAGCCACCCTCCACCCCTCGTCGTCGTCGTCGTCGTCGTCGCACCTCGACGCTCCCGCTTCCATACCCATCTGGGCACTCATGCTCTCCGGATCCGCGGGCGGAATCGCAAACTGGCTCGCCTCGTACCCCTTGGACGTCGTCAAGAGCCGCGTACAGCTCTCCGACGAACCCCTCGCCCGCGGCGGCATCGCAGGATCGAGGTACATCGCCCACCAGACCGCACACATCTACCGCACAGAGGGCCCGCGCGCCTTTGTCCGCGGCCTCAGCCCCACCCTCCTCCGCGCCATCCCCGCCGCCGCGGCCACCTTTACCACGTTTGAACTCGTAAAGCGCTTCCTCGACGCCTAGCCCGCCCCCGCCCGGGGTCCCGACTCGCAGCCGCAACACGGCACGCCAAGGTTGGACGGTTCGACGGATCGACGGACGGATGGGTTGAAAAGCAGGGCAAGGGCAGCGGCGGCGGCGTCGGCGGCAGTGGCGGCGGCGAACGGAAGGCACGTCGGCCCAAAGCGCCCCTCCCGCCTGCACATCGAGCAAGGGGCATGGTACATCTAAGATACAGGCAAAGAGCGCACGGAGCGGGATCGGGTCAAGCGAGCGTGGTGGGTGCGGCGGAAACGAGCGTCGGAGCGGAAGGCGAGGCAGTCGAGTCGACGCGGGCGTCGAAGGCGAGGGGCAACAGCACATCGCCAAGGGGGGATCGGCGCTGCATCGCCGGAACAAAAAAAGGCCGCAGCGGCCAAGCCATGGCAATCGCAGCAGCCCTGCCGCCTCTGTTTGGGAAGTCGAGTGGCCGGCATGCATGCGATTGGACGACTCGCGCCGGCCTCTGTGATCCCTTTTAGGCCGCGCGGCCTCCATTGACGCCAGCGGGAGCATGCGCCGCCGCCGGGCCGGTCCAGAACTCGTCCTCGTCCTCGTCTTCCTGGACCGAGGCCGGTGCCGCGGCCGACGAGGTTCCATCGGCGCGGGCGCTGGCGGCGCTGGCAACGCCGTCCGACGGATGCGCGCGCCCACCATCGGCGGCCGGTGCAAACGTGCCCGAGTCGCTCTGCATCCAGCCGCGGGCCGGCGACGGCTGCTGGTGGGACGTGGGCGACGAGGGCGAGACGCGCGTAATCGTCTCGTACTGCGGCGGCAGCTCCATGATCTGCTCCGGGTACTCTCCCTCGCCGTCGCCGTCGGCCGTGTCGTCGAGCAACAGCCCGGCATCGGCATGGTGGATGATGCGCGTGGTGCCCGTCCGGCTGTTGCCGCCGCTGCTGCCGTCGCCACGCCGGTAGGCCGAGGCCGACGAGGCGTCGCGGCGCATCGGCACCGACACGTCGTTGCTGTCGTCGAAGGGATTGCTCGAAAGATGGAAGCGGCCGGACGAGTACGAGCCCGACGAAGCCGTCTGGTAGCTGCGCCACGTGCGCGAGTTGGCCGTGCCCTGGCCGAGGTGGCGGTGCTGCTGCTGCTGCTGGAGGAAGTCGTCGCCTTCGCCAAACACGCCACGGACGGGCGTGATCAGGTCCTCGTACCCATCGCCAGCATCGCCCGAGGCAAAGTCGGACCGGTGTGTCCGGCCGGCGCCGACGCGTCCCGACACCGACTTGACCGTTCCATCGCGCGCGACGCCCGCAGCCACGCCCGGCGAATAGCTCTGGTGGTTGGGCCACGGTGATCGATCCAGCGGGCTGGCAATGTCGTCCTCGCTCGGCAGCGAGCCGCCGTTGGAGCCAAACTGCGATCGCACCCCGCCCGACCTCCACGTGTCTGCGCCCTCGGGTGACGACGGATCGTCGCGGAACGCTGAAAACGGCCCGACCGAGCCATCGACGGGAGAGCCGTCATTGCCAAGCCCCATGCTGCCCCGGCGCAGCTGCAGCTGCGGACGGAAGCCCTCGTTGGCGTACGCGGGCGTGCCCGACCGGCTCTGGGCCGCAGAGGCCGAGGGACTGGAAAAGGTCTGCGTAAGGGCATAGGCGTCGGCAGACGAGCCGTTGCGGCCATCGCCTCCCCCCACGGGCCGCAGGCCGACTGACTCAAAAGCGTTCGAGGTCCAGCTTCTCAGCGAGCCCCGCCGCGAGACACCGTTGGCCTGTCCCCGGCTGCCCGAGGTCGGAGCCGGGTCGCGGAAAATGTTGGACCCAGTCGGGCTCTGGGGCGTCCGCAGCGAGTCGCCGTTGTCTTCGCCGTCGAGTGGCTGGTGCTGGTGCTGGCGCTGGTGCTGGCCGGCCGACCCGCGCCTCTTGCCGCCGCCAAACAGGCCCGGGGCGATTGGCATCGACGTGTTGATGTTGAACGGCATCGACGGGTCACTGGGGAGGTCCCACGTCTTGACGCCGCTCCTGCGCGCGCGCCGGCGGCAGATGCACCAGATGATAAAGGCCGACCCCAGCCCGATGGCGACGCCGATGGCCACCAGACCGCCGACGAGCCCCGCTGGGCTAGAGCTGTTGCTCTCGACGCGGCGGCCGTTCCTGACCGTCTCGCGGATCGTGACGGTGCTGACCTGGCCGTTGGTGGTCAGCACGGAGCGCAGGGTCGATGTGGCATCGGGAAAGACGGTGGCCGAGCTGATGGTCGATACGGGCACCAGCAGGTCGCGCCCGTACGACGAGGCCATGCCGAGGCAGCTGTCCGAGGCATACTCGTTGAGCCCGACGATGTTGACCCTCGAGACGCCTCCGTTGCCGTGGGGGCCCGTGTCGCCCATGGTCATCATGAAGCGCGAGCCGCCGTGCATCGCCATCTGCCACGTCAGCTTGCCGGACGAGGCATTGGTGACAGGGACGTTGAGCGGCGCGGTGCTCTCCGGCAGCATGATGATCGACAGCGGCTCGGCGTAGGCGCCGCGCCAGAAGATGTCAAAGTCGGAGCACTGCGAAGGCGAGCGCTCCGTGTAAAAGATAAAGTCGGTGCCGCCGCCGTAGGACGCGCAGTTGGTGTCGGGCCCGTCGGCGACCTGCATAAAGGCCGACGAGTTGGACATGAGGCCCGTCGAGTCGGTGATGGTGACGATGAGGTTGGGGTGCGTCGTGGCGCCCCGGAACGTGGGCACGTCGAACTGGTACATCCAGAGCTGCTTGTCGATGGCGTCGTAGGTGGCGCCCACTGGTCGTCGCGAGACGAGAAGGCCGCGGGTGCGAGGAGGCATTGGGCGACATGGCGGACAGATAAGCACGGATGCACACAGCGGCGAGAGGGCCGATCAGCGAGTCGGGGAGCGGGGAAACACTCACAGCTGACTGTATACGGCCACCAGTCCTCGATGGTGACCATGACCTGGAATGGCGGTGCGCCGCGGCGCGGGTCGAAGGTGATGTTCATCGGCTGGCAGGTGAGGGGCGGGCTGACGTTGATGTCGACCCAGTGCGGCATCGAGGACAGGTCGGGGCTCTCGGCGGCATGAATCTGGTTGAGCCGCTCGTCATCTAGATGCCGAGCGGGTATCGGCGATGGGGCCGGTGTCGGCGTCGGCGCGGGGACAGGTGAGGGTGCAGGGCTGGGAGACGGACCGGCAGAGACGAGCGAGATGGGCCCAAAGCAGAGAAGCAGGAAGCAGAAGAGGGGCAGGAGCAGTGACGCCGCAGGCAGGGCCCTGGTCCGGATGCTGAGATTTGGCGGGCGAGATCGAGGCATCGCATGGTCGCTGCCGCGGCGAGCAGCAGGGAGGGGGCAGGTCGAGGTGGCAAAAGAGGCCTCGAGGTGTTCGGCGGCGAGTGCTATGGAGCTCGGACCGGGCGCCGACGGCTGAAGCAGGCGATCCAGCGGGCCGGCGACGATGCCCGCGGTCGATGAGACGGCCGGACGGCCGCCGGTGGAATCTGGCCCCGGGCGGCGTGCCTCGGTGTCGCCGGTTGGACGGAGATGCGTGCGCCGTTTGCAGTGATTGGTGGGCCGAGTGAGGACGAGCAGCCCTGGCCGGCTCGGGCTGGATGGAGGCAGGCCGCAGCCGCATCGACAAGGACGGTCTTGGGTCATGGCGTCGGCAAAGGGCGTCGAGCGGTGTTGGCGAGGGAGGGGCTGTGACGAGTAGCGGGACAGCCTCAGCAATCCATCAAGACGATGGGCGATTGAGGAAGCTTGGGTCGGTCGGTGCAAGCTGAGCACGACCTGCCTGCGGCAGACGGGCAGGACGGTTGGAGGGGATGCCAGGTCGGAAGATGTCGCAGGCGAGCGTGGCTCCGTCAAGACCGGATCATGCGTCGGGACCGTCCCGGCCTGTCCCGGCAAAGAGAATGGTCGGGAGAAGCCGAAAAGGAGTAAAGTCGTGGGAGGGTGGTGGTGAGGATGGTATCGACGGATGGCGTCCGAGGGTAGAAGATGGTGGGCACGAAGGGGTCCGAGCCAGAGGGCAGGTCGAGGCCGGAACTGGGAGCGGGCCGATGTGAGACGCCTCGGTCGGGCGCGGATAGAGCGGTCCGGATGCGCAGGCTAGGGCGTCGACGTAGCGCGGCGTCGAGACGATGGCAGAGCGGGCCGCCAGTCGTGCGCAGCAGCAGTCCAGGCCTCGCGCGCCGAGGACGGCCGGCCCGGGTTTTAAGGTTAAGAGATGGGCCGAGGATTACGCCGAGGGTGCGCTGTAGTGACAGTCAGGGTAGATGAGCGTGGTGAAGACAGGGCGACGAGCGGTGGGTGAGGTGCAGGAGGAGGTTATGGCGATGGTGGCCGTGGTGCACGCGGTTGGGTGATGACGATGGCCACGAGAGAAGACCAGGCTGACGGCGATGACAGCAGACAGAATGGCGAGTAGCAACAGCGGCCGCGGCGGCGGAACGGTACGAGCGGCGCGCAGGCCAAGAGCAAGGGCTCCTTGACGACAGCCCGGAAGGCAAAACGGAGCCGGCCAGGTTCCAGATGGAGACCAGATGCCTTGCACCGCAGCTCGTAGCGTGGCGGGGTGTAGCGGATCGGATCGGTCCGCTGATGGACGGATCGAGGCGGAGAGAGGGGGTCCTGTGGAGAGAGAGAGGGGAAGACGAGCGAGTCGAGGAGGCGAGGAAGGAGGGAGAGCAAGGCGAACGTTTGCGGTGCGGTACGGTGCGGTGGAGCGGCAGCAGCGGCCAGAGGCAGCCAGGCTGGAGGAGCGTCAGGCAACCAGCAGCAGCAGGCGGGGGGAGCCGCAGGCAGCCAGGGAGAGAGGCAGGCCGGCAGCAGCGAGGGGGGGCCAGCTTAGAGAAGGCGTCGTTCCGCAGGAGAGCGGGCGCGGGCCCTCTTTGCCTTTTCGCCGCCTGCCCTGCTCTGCCCCGTCGAGACCCGCCCGCCCGCTCGCGGTTGGCTGCCTGCCTGCCGTTCTGCCAGCCTGCCTAGGCTCGTTGGCCTCGGCCCTGGGGCCAACCAGCCAAGCCAGCCAGGCACGCCCGCCGCTTGCCCCGCCCAACAATTTGCCCAAGCAAAGAGTACGTAGCGACGACACGGCAGCATCCCCCCCTCGTCGAGCCCCCTGGCTGCCTGTGCGCTCCCACCCATTGCCCTCGGGCGTGCAGGGGCGTGGGCAGCCAGGAGCACCATGCTTCATAGATCTCAACGCCAGGGGCAGGGCCAGGGCCAGGGCCAGGGCCAGGGCGAGGGCGAGGGCGGGAAGGCCTTTGCACCGCTTGGCGTGGCCGGGGGTTGGCTTAACAACGAGCGAGCGGGAGGAGCGAGACGGGCCTTTCCCCTCTTGTCCTGCCTCCCCGCCCTGCCCGTCTTCGGGGTACAGACGTCGATCTTATCTCGTCTGATCTGGAAGCTCGTCCTTGCATGACCAAAGCGCGCTCCTCCATGATGCCGACATTTTCGGCAATCCAGAACTCGGCCAGCGGAAGAGGGCGAGCGGCATTCGGGCCGGAGCCGAAGACTGCCCTTAGCCGCCGCCGACACCAGATCGATGCAGTGCCATGCCCCAATCCACCCCTCGCCGCTCTGCTCGACGACCTGACTGCCTGACTGCCTGACTGCCTGCCTGCCTACGTATCTGCCCGCCCATGCTGCACCGACAGTCGTCCCGCCTTGCCATCCGAGCATTCGGAGTCCCTCAGACGGCCGATCATCTTGCCCCAGCAGCAAAAAAAGCAATGCCTTCCCGGCCGGGGAATCGAACCCCGATCTGAACAGCGCCCGAAACGCCACAGGGGCGCACCGTGAGAGTGTCCTATACTGACCATTGTACTAACCAGGAGCGAATCGATGAAGAAGAGATCAACGAGTTGGCGATATGACGGGCTGAGGGCGGGGTCAGCCGAAGGTGCGACCGTGACGGTGGGCGAGCGGGACGGCGAGGGAGTCGGCCGCGCGGGCAGGGGGGCAGCGCTCCTCCACTTTGTGGGGTCGGCACCGCCCGCTCGGCTCTTCGACTTGGCTCCTCGACTTGGCGGGCTATGTCATCGGCCGCCCCGCCGCTGCGACGACGACCGACCGTCAGCACCACCACCACCACCACCACATCCTCCCGCCCCGCCCCGCTTCCGTCTCGCCCCGCCCCGCGTGCCATGGTCAAGAAGCGCACGACCGGCGCGGGGCCAATCGATACCTCCTCGGCTGTCAAGGCGACTGCCGCTGCTGCGGTTCAGGGCAACGACAACGACGGCGACGGCAGTGACCAACGCCACCACGACCTCGCCCTCTTTCGACAGGCCCTCGCCGCGTGCCTGCCCCGTCACTGCTCGTCGACCCGCGCAGATGGGCTTCGGACCGGCGGCAAGGTCTTCGACGCGTACGGCGACGCAGACGACGTCGAGCTGTGAGTGCAGAGCGGTGCCCGATGCCCGGTGCCTTGACCGTGATCCCGCGCGCGCTTCGCTCAGAGACGCCACTTCTGACGAGCATCGTCCTCGTCTCGTTTCATCGCTCGCCTCATCGCCTGACTCGTTGCCTGCATTCCTGCCCGCCCGCCCCGCCCGCCTGTCCGCCCCCGTGGATCGACCGACGCACCGGCTGTACAGACTGGACGACGCCGTGGACCACGTCTGCCTCGACCTCGCCGCTGACACGCTCGATGCGCTCCTGGGCCAAGCCAAGTCCGCAGCGACCGTCGGAACGGACGCCGGCGGCCTCTATGACGGGACGCTGTCCAGCATCGACGGCCACCCGCTCAGCGCCGCCATCTCGGACGCCGCGCTCGAGATCCTCGCGCTCGACTCGGTCGATCCTGCCCTCGTCCTCTCAGAGACGCTCGACGATTACATCGACCTGCTCGCAGCCCAGGCCGCCGACGACGGCATAGACGGGCAGGCGGGCAGCTACGGCAGGGAGAGCAAAAAGGGAGAGCTCGGCGAGTGCCAGCTCTGCGAGAGGAGGATGATGCTGACCGCGCAGTGAGTCGCCCATCCACCCCCGGAGCGACAGCCTCTCGTCATCCTCGACGCTGATGCCCATCGCCTCTGCTCGCACCCGCTCGCCATCCCAACCTCGTCCGGCGGCAGCCACCTGATACCCCGAGAGACGCACGACCTCCTCCTCAAGCGCGGCGTCTATACCAAAAAGGAGATGCAGACCCGCATCGCCTGGCTCTGCCGTGAGTCCTTGCGCTTGCCGCGTCTGCCTCAATATCGGCGCCGACGTCTACCATCGCACCGCCACTGACGCCCTCAGTCCGGCGCGGCCTTTCTGCCTCCGCCGTGTCGCCGCATCCTACACACAGGCCCCTGCCACACCGCCGTGCACAACCACATCCCCACGTCGGTCCTCGCCGCCGACTACAACACCGTCGAAAAGCTGCTTCAGCACGAGGGCGTCTACAAGTGGGCACGGTACGCCAGCAGGCTAAAGGAAAAGGATCGCGCGTTCAAGGGCACCGGACTGCGGGAAAAGCGGTGAGCCGGGCACATCGCCGCTCCGCTCGCCTCTCGCACGCTGTTGCACGGTCCCGCGGCCCTCGATGTGGCATGGGATGGCATGCCGTGTCCATCCCGTCACAGCTGCCGCCGTTGCCGCCCGACGGTCGTTTGTATATCGGTGCAGCCGTTGGACGTAGAGGGAAGCAGACAGTGCCGCCGAGCATCGTCGTTGAAAATCACTGCGAAAATGACACGCACCTGCTCGGCCCTAGCCCCTGCTGTTCGTGACCCACTGGGCCCCACCCCTGCAAGACCAGCTTTGTAACCCAACCCACCACAGCCTGTGAGGTCCACCATCCTCTTCTCCACCACAGCCAAACCTTTGAAGAGGCACTCTTCAGGTCAACCCTGACCACTTCTTGACTCTGACTGGCCTAAGGACATCATAACCCAGAAGGCAAGAATGGGAACCCCTTGTAACCCTAACCCTAAACCCCAGCCCCAACCCTAACCCCAGCCCTAACCCTAACCCTAGCCCCAGCCCTAACCTTAACCCGAGCCCCAACCCTAACCCTGGCCCCAGCCCTAGACCTAACACAGCCAAAACCCATCGCTCCGCTTTAGGGTTTCACCCATCGCTCGGCTTTAGGGTGTAACGGTCGACCTGGCGGTGCACAGAAGATTGTCCAAGGGGGGGAGAAGTCTCTGCGCGTCGGAGGGCGATCGCTTCGGTGCTTCCGTCAGAGGCGCGAGAGAGGTTCGGGAACGGCGGGTTGATACCGAGGGCAACTGTGAGCACCGTTGGCAGGCGTCCACGGTCAAGGATGACTACGGAAGTGAGCTGGCGTGGTGATCTGTCGATAGACGTCGCAATTGCTAGACAACGGTAGCCTCGGGCTCTCACGTCAATGGAAGACGAGCAAGCGGTGAGGACTGGTATTGACTAGACTGGATGAGGGTGTCGCGCGGCTAGGGTTACAAGGTGATGTGGGCAGGGTTAGGGGCAGACCGATTCTTGACAAACTATTTTCATATGATAGATAGGCCACTTATACCCTACCATGCAAAGTATGGGGGTCAGCGGATCAGCGGTCATGGAGATCGGAGCCCTCAAAGTTGGAGCGTTTTTGACAAAAAGTTGTCAAAACCCAAACATTTTTGCACCAAAAGGGGCGTAATGGAGGGTATAAATGAGGCATACACAGAGGCAGGGCTTTCCCTGGAAGGTCAGGGAGTGCGGGTGGAAAAAGTGGTTTTCGGGCCAAATCCTAAGGGGGGACCCTTGGGACCCCCTGGCTGACGACAAAATCTCCACCGATCTGTCTGAAACTTTTACGGTAGAGGGAGAGGGGCACAGCCAGTGGATAGGGTTAGGGTGAGGGTTACAAGGGGGGGCCACGCAGGGTTAGGGTTGGGATTTTCTTCCCGCAAATGATTCCATCTTACAAGGTGTTCTGTGGGAAAAACATGGTAGGGCTAGGGTTAGGGTTAGGG